GACAGCTTAAAAGACCAGGTACATAACTGTATTATACCAGGACAGGAGATTTCTTCATTTTTAAAATAAATTTAGGGATGACATAATAAATATTAGGTACCTATATATAAGTATTAAATGTGTTCACAGACACACTTAACATGTTTGTTTCGCTCTTTTGACTCTGCAATCATAATGACCTATTTTCATAAAATTTTTAAAAAACAGTGGAAGCAACAATGAACATAACTTCATTTTTTCAAAACCAACTTTCCAGCCTTTTAGGATTAAAAAGGTATCATTTATAACAACAAACAACTAAGTCAGCAGTCTCCTGGTTAAAGAAAACCAACTTCTCCAAGCTGGAAATATTTAATGCCAGTTTTGGGGCACAATTAAGATCCAGTCAGTATACGGAAGCATTGTTTGAACAATGTCATATTATTAAAATGCTTGTTTTCTTACCTACAATTGCCCTCAATATTATTCAGACCAGCTCACTCTTGATCAAAAGAAACTAAGAGGGCTATTTTTAGTCCTAATTGTATTTAAAGAAAAAAAAATAAAAGCATTTTCAGTGCATGGATATCTGAAGATCCTTCCTTGTGCAAGTAAAAAAAAATTTTTTTTAAACTAAAGAAAAAAATTGAGGAAAAAACAACCAAGAACCCCACCGACCCCCTTCTTGAGTGCATTTCTCCTGGTGGGTATAAATCAAATTTACTTTTCAGAGTTCATAATGGGCTCTTCATGAACGCCAGTTTCTCACAAAACAGCATGCTGTCAAGAGTGTGCAACATGAAGGGAATGCCATCATGCGAACTAAGGTGATTGGCAAAACAGAGTTGTTTTGTAAGGTAAGGCAGAGATTTTAATATTTATGTCATCAAAGTCCAAATAAACCTTTCTCCAGCACAAACTGTTAAAACTTTCTGCCAAAGCCCTCCAAAATTTGGGTTTTTGATGTTGTCCATGATATTCGACATTATGCCATATATATGAAAGTGTTGATATCGGATTCGTCTCTTCTGATATATTTGTGCTCTATCAGCCACTCGATTTGTTCTTTTATCATCTTCTTTTGTGGCAAGAACATGTTTTTCAAAATTTCTACTAGTTCAGTCTGCAGTTGAGCATTACTAATTTTCTTCCTCATTTTCATTATTTGTATGATAGCTTCCTAAAAAAGAAAGTACAATAGTATTAATATTTTTAATACTACTAAACCAAAAGTCACTTTTTATGTTTCATAATCTAACATGAGCAGAAATCATTAGGAGATTAATCTTGAGATGAAATTATTTTACTTATAAACTAAAGATAGTATTTTTCTTCTGCTGATTATGAAAGAAAATGTTTTATTATGAAGATTTAAAAAATCACCAATAACCCATAACCTGCCTACTCAAAGAAACAACGGCTAATGTTCGGGTGTATTTCCTGTTCCTTTCCCTCACATGGTAAACACGTCTCTCATCGGTGACCACAATGTGCACACCACTTTATATTGTGTTGAACATCAATTCAGACATAACCAATTCCTTACAAATCATATCCCCCACTTTCTGTTCTGTGTTCTTCTTTTGATTAGTAGCAGAGGCCTTTTGGAGTCTGTTTTAAAAACCAACACAAGGCCAGAGGTTCAAACACACCAACTGTTGCAGTGAAGAAAGATGCGGGTATCTGCTGCCATAAAAATTGACAACTCTCCTCCTCCCCCATCATCTGTTCCTGTGTGCTCTGGTCAGACAGACAACCGAAAAGTGGATGAAGGGAGACGTTGGACAGGGCAAGATATGACAAAATACCAATTTATAAACTATCAAGGGCTCATG